AGCAAAGTAAAGTGCCACGTACAGTTTATGTATCCTCTTTCCAAGACTTATTTCACTTTCTTCTTACTGTCGTCAGGTTTGACTATAGCATTATTATGCCGCTTTTATCAAAATTACCAAAACATTATTTGGCTAGTCCCAGTACATCGGTTGCCGCTGAATCGTCCTTTAGTGTTTCGGCCTACTATGGTTGAAACGAAACAGCACATCCACTTCCGGAAAATTCGGCTTTATCAGTCTTTTCAAAGGACAAAATTTGTGCTGAAGTTTAACATTGAGATTTTTAAATGCATTGAACAAAATCACCGCACATAAATAAAGCAATGTCAGAAGCTTCGACAATGCAAAAACAATAAAATGAGAAAATACCGAAATTACCATATCTTCCAACATACAATACAGATTCATCCATAAACCAAATACAGAAAATTACAAGAAATTACCTAGATTCACTAATACCTCTAAACCGAATTTCCTACAAATTTCGGTAATTACCCAGTAACGAAAAAAACAATCTCTCAGTAATTTCCGAAATTCCAAACATTTTCAAAACTACTTAATAAGCACTTACTACTAGAACTTACTAACTTTAAGAAAATTCAGTAATTTCCACGTAGTTTTGGTAATTACTGAGAAATTATTGAAATTTCTTTTATTTATTACAAAGAGCTATCCATTAGAATTGGGACCCCTATCTACGACAATAGGAGAATTTATAGAAACTACGATAATTTCGAGGAAATTTTGGTAATTACTGCGAAATTTCTGAAATTTCTATCGTTTATTAGACAGAGATATCCACTAGAATTCGGACCCCTATCTCCGACAACAGGAGAATTTATAGAAATCTCGGTCATTTCCAGGAAATTTTGGTAATTTATTATTTATTACATCGAGATATCCATTAGAAAAAGCACCGCTATCTTGGAAAACAAGAGAACTTTTAGAAATTTCGACTGTTTCCAGGAAATTTTGGTATTTACGAAGAAAATTACTGAAATTTCTGTACTTCATTAGACAAAAGATATCCGTTAGAATAAGGTTCCCCATCTTCGAAAATACGACAAGTTATGAAAATTTCGGATCTTCTTCCCAGTAATTCCCAGAATTTCCTCGAAATTACCGAAATTTTTAGAAATACTTTTCTTGTCAGGGATAGAGGTCCGAATTCTAATGAATATCTCTCACTAACAAACCACAGAAATTTCCCAGTGATTACGAAAATTTTCACGAAATTACCGAAATTTCTATAAATCCACCTACTGGCTGAGACAGGTGTCCCATTTCTAATGGATATCTCTGTCTAATAAATCATAGAAATTTCAAAAATTTCCCAATAATTAGGAAAAATTGCTCAAAATTACCCAAATTTCTATAAGTTCTTCTATTGTTGGAGATGCGGATCCCCGTTCTGATGGATATCTCTGTCTAACAAATAAAAGATATTTCAGTAATTTCCCAGTAATTACCGAAACTTCCTTGAAATTACCGAAATTTCTATGAATTCTCCTATTGTCGGAGATACGGGTCCCAAATCTAATGGACATCTCTGTCTAACAAATAAAAGATATTTTAGTAATTTCCCAGTAATTACCGAAATTTCCTCGAAACTACCGAGATTTGTACAAACTCTCCCATTGTCGAACATACGAGACCCAATTCTAACGGATATCTCTGTCAAATAAATGCCAGAAATTTCAAACATTTCCCAGTAATTACCGAAACTTCCTCGAATGTACCGATATTTCTATAAATTCTCCTATTGTCGGAGATAGGAGTCGTAAGTCTGATGGTTATCTCTGTCTAATAAATGATAGAAAGATAACGGTTAACAATTATGCAGCAGTTCTCTGTCAACTGAAAGAGAGACAAACCCCATTATTATCGGTGATAGAGAAAAGAAAAAAAAACGACAAAAAAGAAAAAACCATAAGATGCATGAATAACATCAGCAATTTTAAATTGTTATGTGATGTTGAGAAATTTATTCTTAATGTATCTAATAATCCAGTTCATGATCTAGATGATCTTATACAAGGGATAACGGAAGTTTGCGATGGTGATATAGATATTCAAAGATTGAAAGCTGAAGTACATATGATTTACGATTTTTTTAAATCTGTAATTAACACAAATCAGATGAAAATAAAACAAATCACAAAGATTTCGACTATTTGTGAAATTTTAAACTCATGCAATGTTGATAAACAAATGTTTAGAGAATTTGATAAATTGATTAAACTGTATTTAACTCTTCTTGTTACGATAGCAAGTGCTGAACATGCATTTAGTACATTAAATAGATTAACAACTGTGCTTCGAAATTCTATGACACAGTCACGACTTAATCATTGTTTATTAGCAAATATTTATAAAGAAAAACTTCATGAAATTGATCCATATCAAATAATGTCAAAATTTATCGCATCGAATAGCAATAGACAAGCCTTTTTTGCTTCAATAGTTTAATTTGAAATAAATGATTTTTTTGTAATGAAATTTTTATACTTGGTAAAGATTCACAAATTCTTGCGATAAAGAATAGAGCGAACTAGAACAGTGTTTTTCATAATACCAGAATAATTGAATAATCTAAAACGACTTATTAACTGAACTTATTTTAGTCTATGTCAACGTATAATATATAAAAGTTTTGAGGAGTAACCAATAACCTTATACTGAGCCTTACCTGATTTGAAAACGTTCCGCCGCCACTGCATATTGATACTTCCCTACTATTGTCAATAGCAATTCCATCAACATTAATGCTCAATGTAATAAACGGATAGTCTTTTTCAATATTCAAAGTTCAAAGGTGTCAAATATCGTTGACAACGAATGCACGTACTTACGTGTCTTGTTAGTCGAATAATAACAACTTATCCTGTTTAAATAAGAAGTTATGCTCTTCCAGGGAGATTCTTGGATGGAAGAGCATCGATCGACTAAAAAGCCGAACGAGTGTTGCACCAGTTCGATTCGGAAAACAAGATTTCGACTGGAACCCCCACCTTACGGCGCCGGGAATACTCAGAAGTGTTCTTCCTCGTTTTTATCTTGTCGGCTGAGTGCAAGATTCTTGTTCAAGCAGAATGTGTGTTTTTTTCGACAAAAACAGGCTAACAAGCCCTTTATTTTCTCCGTTTTCGATAGAGAGAATAAAAAGTTCCTTCTTATTCAAAAGCGATATACACACAGACATGTGGTTTATTTTCGCCTTTTTCGGACAGAAGAACACAAGTTCTTTTTATCCATAGACAAATGTACTTTATTTGCTTTTTCTTCAATAAGACGAGCATAACGTCTTATTTAAACAAGATAAGTTGTTATTATTTGGCTAGCAATGACACGTGCATTCATTTTCTCTACGATATTTCACACTATAACCCAGCTGAAGAGACCCTTAAGCAAGGTCGAAATCGCTCCTGGGTTGCTCCGTTCGTTTTTAAAAAAAGTTTTCGAAAACTTCGAACTCTTTTTGTACGAAAATAAACATTCGAAGTCTATCGTTCGTCATGCTTAACGACAAGATTGTCGTTTTTAGTTCAAAAATATTAATATTATCATACGTGTTGTTTTTAAATATAATGAAAAATATTCAAGCTTCATCTTTCTAAAAAAAGTAACCCTTTTGGAAAAAACGTTTTTACTGCTGAAACTGAGGTATGTACGAGAAAAAGCTTTTAGTAAAGTATCGCAAAAGAGCCCTAAATTTGCGCGTTACTTTTTTCGGTGGCCTTTGCCATTCGAGCCAAAACTTTTGCACTGTTAAATTCGTCGTTCGCTAGTGTGTATTAGGAAATATTTAGATTTTGAAAAATCTCACTTTGGTTTTTTCTCCAAATGTCCACGTTGTTTCCCACTGTGTGCTCCGCTGGTTTTGTCCTACTGTTGACTGAAGAACACCTTACATATAAAAAACCATACTGCTCTTTTTGACTTCATGATGTCGGACAAGATAAAGAAATGTCTTAGGTAAAGAAAGACCATTTCTGCATCCACGTTGCCAACCACATATCTTTGTCCATAAAGCTATGTTCAAGGTCCAAAAAATCATCACCATCACACAAAACGAAGTATAGTAACTTTAACTGACTATGTTTTTTACACTTCTAATGCATGTGTTGGAAATGCTTTTGTTTTTCATTTGATTGTCATTCAAATTTTTTTTCTGTTTAGTTTTGAATCACTTAGCTTTCAGAGAAACTGTACATCACAGTTTTTCCTATTCTTTTGCTTTTCAATAAGGTAGCCTCACGTTGCTGTTCTAAAATTTACTTTATATCTTAGCAGTGTTACGAATTACTATTACATCCTTCTCTCAGTTCTAAATCTTTCTGCTTCTTAAATATGACACCCACAAAGAAAAGAAAGAGAATTCTTTTCATCCAGACGCCGAGTAAAACGTAGACTCCGCATGAAAACGCTCCGTTTTTAATTAGCCATTACATTATGACAAGACTCAACGCCTGGTATTTCACTTCTGCCTCCCAAGGCACGACTGTTGTTTACCTCTTCATTATCAGAGACGCTTCTATTTCTTAATCTCTCGTTGTTCGATTGAAAGATCATTTCTTTCTTTCTTTCTCTCTGCGAAATCGTGAAAATAACTCACCCTTACACTCATCGTTTATTCAATCTTCGCTTTACCTGTTAACTGTAGAAAAAACGAAAATGCACTTCTTACACAAGACACCAACAGTTATCACTTTTTAGCGGTAGATAAGAAGCAACATTCTCAAACGATACATTAGAAAAAATAGCACATTTATTCCTTTTCTTTTGAAAACTATCACTTTAAAAAAAAACACAACAAAAAGAAAGTTTTTGAGTATAACAACAAGCTTGTTAGTAGTTTCAGTTCACCAGTCGTTTCCGGAATGACATGCCTTTTTAACATCACATCTTAGATAACAACAATTCTTCTTTCATTTACTCAAGATCCCCGAAAAGCAACGTACAAAATATACAAAAGAAACGACACTGTTGATAATACCAAAATGGAAAATGGTAGAAGTATGCACTGTGAGGCACACTCCATCTCTTGCTTATTTGCTTACCATATGTCTTAGAACATTTAGACCAAACCTTTCTCTCCCTCTCCTTCTTTTTTATCGCGTATTTTTCTCCTTCGACTCTGTCAAAAAAGTTAGGAGATCAACAGCTTGCTGTTTCCCTTTCACTTGGATTACACTGGTTGCTGGTCAAGAAGAAAGAGAGGAGTAAAACGTATAGTCCATTAGGCATGCACTAGTTTTTAACTGGTGTTGGGGCATCCGGGAGAATTGCTACAAATCAGTTATCACGATTCTCTCAGAGCTGTAAAACACCTAATTTTGTGGAAAAATGTTTGCTCTACGAAATGCATTTGTTAAAAGGATTCCAGAATCATTTCTAAGAAAACTCAGAGTATTCAAAAAAACATTGAATCACGGAAAAAAAACTGTTCCAATAGGTTTTTTTGCGTAATTTAGTACATTTTAGAATGCTCTAAGTTTTCTTAGAAATGGTTCTGGAATCCTTTTAACAAATGCATTTTGTAGAGCAAACATTTTTCTACAAAATTAGATGTTTTACAGCTCTGAGAGAATCGTGATAACTGATTTGTAGCAATTCTCCCGGATGCCCGAACACCAGTTAAAAACTGGTGCATGCCTATGGTCCATACGTTAATGGTACCGCATTATGAAGAAAAAACAAGGAGAATATATTCTGTGTTATCTAAGATAACAGGCTATTCTTTCTTTCACACATAAAACAAAACAAGAAAAAGAAAAGACTGCCGTATGTAAAGAATAAATCCTCGAGCCTGCACACAGGCGTTTCGTCGATAAGAGAAAGAGAGAAGAAGAGAAACAGAGACTAAACTTCAGTCATTTCTAGAAGAAAAAACCGAGATACACATGAAAAAAAAATCTCTCGTTTTTTTGCCGGAATTTGTAGAGTCATTTTTTCTCTTTGCCTATTTGCTGTACTCGCGCTTCTGCTTGTCATTATCGATGATGCCCTTTTTTTTTCTTCATGACTCTCTTTGCTACTCGACAGAGACACCATTACACCCTCTTTTTTTAAAGTCACTGTAATGATAGAACGATTTTGTATTCCCTAAGAATCTGTAAAAAAAGTCGAAAAAATACTACAAGATATACAAACGTTCTATCATCACAGTGACTTGCAAAAAATATCTTTCACACTGTTTCCTTAATACCATGAACTCTGATTCACGCCGATAATGAACCAGTTATATTTTTCGACCATTTATAATTACCCATAGGTAACTGTTTGAAACACGAAAGAAAAGAAAGCAGGAAAGAAAGGAAGAAAAAAAAAAGAAATACAAAATAACATTTGCACACATGTCTTGTATTTTAGACTTAATAGTCTTTCACATTTGCCTTTCTTTTTCTTTTGTATAGTATAAATAGGGTGTGACTATGGGTGTAAAGGTGGACGTTCATCAAGAGAATACCCACATCCACACCCTTGATCAAATAACCAGTAGGAAGGAAAAAATCAACGGACGCAATAACGAGGATCCCCACTATCTTATTGATTGAATAAAAACAAGGTCAAATTTGTTGTCTTCATTCTAGATCACTCGTACTTTACAATATTGAAATACTCTATCACTGTTATTACTAATGAGCCGGCCTGCAATCGAGACCGGTAAGGCTGTTACGATTTTCAGCTTGTCAGTGAAGAAACAGATCTATCAAATGACACTTTTTGACATTAATGACTGTATAGTCCTAACCAGAGTCACTTTTCCGTAGTATTATTGTAAGAAAATAAACATGACCTACTTTCTGTATTCACTTGTCTCGAGCAGGACAAGAAGAAGCTGAGCGAGTTTCTGTTTTGCTTCAGAGAGCAGCAGTGCATCAAGTGATTCAAGTGAAGAGGATGATTCTGATGATGACAAATACGTCAAAGCAGAAGGCTGCCGAACTCGTTCAACGAAAGAAAGTTCGGATGAGAGCAATGATGAAAGCAAAAGCGAATCCGACGATGAAGACATGGAAGTTGAAAATACCAAAGATGCTGAAACAACCAGTGAGCAGTCGGAAAACGAAGAAGATGATGAAGATGAAGACGAGAGCAGTGATGAGCACGATGATGATTATGAAGATGAAGATGATAGCGGTGATGAGCACGATGATGATGATCGACCGATGGACCCGATGGCAACCGCGCTTGCCGTGGCCGAAGGTGCCGAAGTACCATCCGAACGGTTTCGAATAATACAAGAGGCAGCGGACGAGTTGGATGTTGATTTGGAAAGACTTCATGTGAAGTATATTCTTTGCGCCCAAGCTGCGCATCACAGCGGTTTCATCGAGCCTGATTATTTCGGCAACTTACCTGAACTTCTCTCGACTGACAATGTAATCATTAGAAAATGTATCATGTGGGCATTTGCATCGATCTTGCCCTGTAAAAATGTGCTCAGTCCACTATTGATCCGATTGCTTTACAAATCGTTAAAAGATGAAACACTCGGCTGGAGCATTTCTTATCTGTTTCGGAAAATGTCCGAATACGACAAGTATATTCCGATGGTCACATGTGCCATGTGGATTTCAATGTCCAATCTGCTGTTCGATGGAACATTGAGCGAACAAGTCCGAACAACCATCGTTTATACGTTGAACAACGTTTACAAAGTTCGAAAATGGGTTTCACCAGTGATCAAACTGAGGTTTGAACAATTAGTCCGAATCGATGGCATCGGAACACGAGTTCTTGTTGCAACCGTTCATGCGTTACATTCGATGACCATCGGCGGTGCCAATCTGGAAAAAGAAACCGTTTCACGCTTGAGAAATTTGGCGACCACTGGCGATGGCACATCGACGGAAGCAATTCATGAATTACTCGATTTCCTCGATAACAAACGAATCTTATCGAATGCAGCGGGTTCACTCTCAGGTTCCAGTGTGAAAAAAGAACTCACCGCAACACAAAACACATCGGTCTCACGGTCAGAAGAGGAATCCGTTGAACCAACTGTAAAATTACACAGTATGGATCATTTACTCAACACTGTTGGTCATCTCGGTCGCTCATTCAATTCGGAATCGCAGCCAACTGACGTTCGTGTAGGTCACAACCAGGCGTGGTATCGAACCACGTGGGCCGAAGTGATCAATCTCGTCACGTTAGCTAAACAAGGCAATCTGAAAGATCAAGATTTCGATTATTTGGAAGGCAAGTTCCGTGATGGTATTCATTGGTCCACAACACCATGGCGCAGCCGAGAAGAAATCTTTGAGATGATTGCTGGTGCGTTTCGAGATGCTGCAGAGATCAAACAAGCCATGCCGCAAAAGGTCCTGAATACGATGATCGATCGTTTATCAGGTACCAACGACACGGTCCATCGTCGATGTGCCGAAGGACTTCTGTTCGTCGTAAAAAATCAACAATCATTGAGCGAAAAACAGATGGAAGGAATCGAAAACAAATTGAAACATGCCGATGGCACCGTGGTGAAACAACATCTGATCGAACTGTACGCGTTGTACGTCTCCAAAGGTCATCATTTAAAACTCGATTTAGATTCCATCGAAAAAGATTTACTGAATGAAGAAACATGTGAAACAGCAAGTTATCTCTTTTTCAAAGCGGCAGCATTGGAAAAAAGAACGTTCTCGAACAAGATTATGAAAACACTCAGTCAAGTGGCCGAATCCAAGCAATACGATGCCAAAGCACGCGACAACTGTCTGTGGGCACTAGCGTACAGTATTAAAGAAACCACCGACAAGAAGTCGATACCCGTTGTTGTGATCGAGGCACTCGGTGATTTGCTCATCGATCCGGAGAAGAACGTCAAACAAACCGCGGCTGTTGCTCTGTGTTACTATGCCAGTGATGAGAAAACAGTCTTGTCCACGGAGATCTTGGAACGATTGGCCGAGATGTTGAACGAAACGGATTATGGGTTATTGAGCAATATTTTATCTGTTTATCTCCGAATGAGCAAACAAGGAGAAGAGGTGCCTAGTGTTGCTTTGAAGAAACTTTGTCCTCTTCTTTATCACGAAGATTTTTTCATCCGCGAAAAAGCCATTTGGATTTTAAAATATGTGGTGAAGAATCGACAAGCGGTGAAATTGAAGATCATCGATCGAGTCGATGGATGTTTAAATGATTCGGAATTCGGCATTCGAAATCCAGCAGCGATGATTTTCGTCAGCTATTGGACTGAACAAATCAATCAGAATGATCGGAAACTTCTTCGAATTCTGTCTGTTCGAATGGAAACGTTCATGTCGACCATCTTTCGTCACGCTTTCAGTTTAAATGTTCAACTGTCGGGTCTCGATCTTCTTCGATCGTTGGTCGAGAAAGACTTTGTCTTGTCCGAAACATTTCTCCATCTGATCGAATGTTGTCTCTATGATCGAGAAGAATCTATCTCAGCAAAGTCCATCGGCATTCTTCAAATCTATTCGAAAGAACATCGATTACCACAAACAACGCTCGTCTGTTTAGAACATCTGTTGACGACGGAAACACCGATTCTTTCCGAAGTGATTTCGATTCTCAAGTCGATCGTTGCCAATGGTCATCGTCTGTCGAAAAATGCGATTAATATCCTCGCTCAGTTATTATTCAAAAGTGCCAACCCGAAAGAAATCACCGTACTGCTGACGCATGCCGATCGAAATCAACCGTTGCCGAAGAGTATCGATGAACTTCTGCGACAAATTTATTACGGTCAAGTACTTCGACATTCCACATGTGCAGCGAGTTTAAACAAAGCGACGAAAGAACTTCTTCATTCCACCAGTCAAGGCAAACCTTTGTCCGCCTCTGTGCTCGATCTGATTGTTGGTGAATTGAATTGCGACGAGCGAAGAGCCTCATTGATGCCGATTCTGGTCAATGTGATTTCGAATGGACAATCGTTAAACAAAGATGAGCATCGATCGATCTTGCAAAACATCTTTTTTCAAATGATCGATCAACCATCGATTGATCTGATCGAAATCTTCACTCATCTTACGCGTCAAAATCAAATCATTTCCGAGAAAGTCATTGATCGATTAAAAGAATATTTAACCAATCCATCGATCAATCATTTTGTCATCGAAATCTATCAGCACCTGATCGAACGACAAAAACCATTGGATCCTTCGATCATTCGAAATATTTTAAAGTTCTTCACTCCACAACAATGGAAACAGCTCACTGAGGATTTACAACATCGATTGGCTTTGTTTTACAAAGCCGTAGCTGACAATCGACCGAAAGAAGCCGATCAAAACTATCTCCCGTTTCTTCTCGAACCTAATCAATCGATTCGCGTGCGAAAAGAGATTTCTACAGCGATTCGACTCTTGGTCGAACATCGAGAAAAACTTCAACCAACGACCATCGATGTTCTGATTGATATGATTGACGGTGACGATGACACTGATCTTCAACAGATCGCATTAGAAATTCTCGATAGTGTTCGATCGACCGATACGAACATCAAACCGAACGTGTCGAAGTTTCTCGATTTACTTCAATGCAACGATCAGACTGATGATCGAACTCTGTTGAAACAACTGAAAGACGCCGCGACGATCGGGGTGAATTTACCCGAGACTTTGTCCGTTCGATTATCGCACATGCTCTACAGTTGTGATGTGACAGTGAAGAAAGATGCGGCACTGATACTGGCCATGAGCATGTCCAAAGGCAAAACTCTCACCCGTCAAATTCTCGATGTGATCTATTTGACACTTCTCGATGATACGATCAACATGCAAACCTTGCCGTTGTTGCTCTCCGAATCAACATTACCCACCTCAGTGGTCGATGATCTTCTCTATTTAGCCAATCGTTCGTCGGACGAGTCCGTTCGACAATGTGCTCGACAAATACTCGCAACACAAATGAACAACAATCAAACGAAAATCGAATTATTCTTTGAATATTTGAATTCTGAGAGCAACATCGATGATCGAACTGATCTTCGTCGAACTTTGAAAGTTCTGCGTGCAATGATTATCGTGGAGAAACAACTCTCGGTTGATCAACTTTCGTTGCATTTCTCGGGTGACTATCAAGACGAAATCATCGATGTGCTGCTTTTGGCACATCAGCACAACGTTCAATTCCATCAGAATCAGCGTCTCATCGAATCGATCGAGATCGCTCTGCAAACACATCCAAAGCCCAAACTGATCCAACTGATGGGAATTCTCACGAGCAACGCTGTGATCATTCAAGAGAAGACATTCAGACGTCTATTCGAAATCTTTGCTGAAGTCGACGATGAAAACGCTCTAATGGCACTCGAACACGCTGCTCAGCACCAACCGTTGCCCCGGGATATGCTGATGTTTTTCGTCGAACTGATTTCCGATCCATTGAAGGTGATGTTCATCGCACGAAATTTCTCAATCATTCGTCAACAGGTCTCTCAAGGTTACGTTGAAGATCCGATGGAGATCATTCAAGCTGTTCGACTTCCATCGATCATCGATATAGATCGACTGAAGAAAATGAAGTCACTAGCACAATGTTTCGGCACGATTCAAACTCTTCTGTTCGTCAATTATCTTCAACCGGATATTTTCGAACAACCTGTGGAACAATGGTCCCGTGATTGTCTTTGCATGGAAATCATCGCCAATGACTCGAACACAACGAACGATGGAATCATTAGTTTCTACCAACATCTGACACAATTCGAACAAATAAAACATTACGAGATCTCCGACGATCGACGTGACACTTTTCTTCGAACATTGATTGAAAAACAACGTTCAGAAACATTGACCTTGTCCGCTATCAATGGCATTCTCATCTACGCAACCACATTGACCGACACACCGCTGAAGATTCTCGATTCGAATCAATCGGATTGGTTGATGAAGATGCGCTTCTACTACATCGGATCTCACTTGGGCGAACGTTTCAGTGATCTGCAATATCCAAAATCCATGATCGATCATCTCGTTCAACGTCTCGCTGAACAAGAACAATTATCGGCTGTTTTCATTGACTTGTGTCTTCGAACAGTTCGATCAGCTGACGATGTTCTGATCTTTCTCGATCTGTTCATCACTTACGCCGTGACCAGCACTGATTTGATCGAAATCTTTTTTCATGAACAAAGTCCCGCGGACTTCGAGACATTGATGAAGAAAATGCACTTGTTGGTACTTGGAAAGACACTGAAATCGCATTGGATTGGATCGAACAAAAACTTCTCACGTGCTCGAGCTTCATTACAAACACTCGTCCAACGTGGATGGACAGTCTCCAAATTGCTCGTCGTGCTCACGGCGAAAGCGAAGATCGAAATGTCGTCAGACGCATCAGAAAGTCTGATCTACTTGGTGGCTGTGTTGAAGATTTTCGTCGATTACAATGTCGATTCGAATATCAGTTCTCATCTGCAATCGATCTTTGCACAGAGCAAAATCCAACTGTGGCCATCGGCAGTCTACAATCGAGTGATCGAACATTGTTTCGGTCACACAACAATGATGAAACAAGTTACACTGCAGGACCGAAATTGTGCTATCTAGCTGATATTGTATATGGAAATTCTAGTCAATTTCAATTCGATTTACTTCGTCATGAATTCAGTCTGTTGAACACACGGTAAAACATTTGCACGACATCGTTTTCTTCTTTTCGATCGAGTTAGAAGATTTGTTTTAGGACATTGGACAAAGTAGAAGGTCTATCACGTCGTTTCGATACGGTGATCATCGATGAAGTGGACAGTATGTTGATCGATGATAATAATACACTCGCTCGTCTAGCTGATCAACTGCCCGGCATGGAATGGCTCAATCCGTTGCTCTACGGGATTTGGCGTTGTATCGATTCGGAAGCGAAGCCAGCTTCCAAACGCGATGCCATCATTGACAACATGAGAAAACTCTTGGCTGATCCAAATTCTGATCTGAAACTTCCGACGCATTTGGCTCGTTTTGTTGACGATTCGATTCCCACCTGGATCGATCACGCTATTCTGGCCAAAGTCGAATATCGACTCGATCATCACTACATGATCAAACCCGATGAAACACGAACGAAGCGAATCATGCCGATCGATTTCTCCAATACGGGCGCTGTTCAACCGAGTACAACTTGGAGTGATGGTCTACATCAATTTCTTCAAATCAAACATGGATTGAAAATGACGACCTTGACCGTGACCACGAATTATCTCTCAAATATGGGCCTTTTCATGCGCTATGGCAAAAATATCTTTGGTCTTACTGGAACGATTGGCTCGAAAGATGCGCAGAATCTTCTCGGTCGCATCTACAACGTCGATACGATCATCATTCCGCCGTTCAAACAGAAACGACACATTCACTTGGAGACAACTTTGACTGAAAATGACGATGATTGGCTAAAAACGATCGTTTCAGAAACGATCAGCCATGCTCGACAACAACGAGGCATCTTGGTCATTTGTGAAACACGACTGGATGCAAAGACGATCAGCAAACTACTACAACGAGCCGAGCCGACCTATCTCGTTCGTCTGTACACGGACAATACTGACGCAGTCGAATCGAATGTCGTCGGCAATCGAATTCAAAACGGTGAAATTATCGTGGCCACGAATCTTGCCGGTCGAGGAACAGATCTAAAAACAAGTTCAACCGTGGAGAAACACGGTGGTTTACATGTGTGTCTAACGTTTCTCCCGAATAATTTACGTGTCGAAGAGCAAGCCTTCGGTCGAACATCTCGTCAAGGTAATCGAGGAACATCACAGATGATTCTCAGTCGAGATCGAACACTTGGACAATTGATAAGCACCTATCCAGAATATA